GGGTGGAAGTTTCCTCTGGGAGCTTAGCTGAGAGCACCCTAGGGAACCGCTCCTGGTATGGGGGCTTAGTCCATTTGGGCTGCTATAGCAAAAACACCATAGACTGGGTGGCTTAAACAACAAACATTTATTTCTCACAGTCCTAGAGACTGGGAAGTCCAAGATCAAGGTGTTAGTAGGTTCGGTGTCCAGTGAAACCCTGTTTCCTAGTTCACAGATGTCTTCACATGATGGAAGGGGCAAAAAAGCTCTCTAGGGTCCTTGTCATAAGGGCACTAATCCCATTCATGAAGGCTCCACCCTCATAACCTAAACACCTCCCAAAACCCCCACCTCCTAACACCATCACATTGGGGGTTAGGATTTCAACATACAAATACAGTCTGTTGCAGAGGCAAAACCCAACATGCTGTGCAACATGGGGGTGCACGGAGTTAATGATGCACTGGGGAACTGCACACAGGCCTGACACTTTCCCTGCCCCAGGGCAGCGATAAGGTATGAGCTGTGAGTGAGGGTGGCCCAGCCAGTGAGGCTTCTCAAAACCTCTTTCTCCAGTCTACTTTTACCTTTCATGTTTCTTCCTGCCTGTCAAAGTACTGGCTCCTAGGCCTGCCATTCAAGGTTTGGTACAATCCAGGCCTTGCCTACCTGTCCCTTCTCTTTTACCCCTGTTCTCCCCAAGCACCCTGAAGCAGTCCCTACCCATTGTGCCTTCAGTTACATGTCTTGTCATTTTTCTCTACTCATCCTTTGAAGCCCAGCCACTGTGCTGCCTCCTCCAGTAAGGGCTTCAAGGACAGTGTTTGTGCAGTGGTTGTCTATAGGTCTGAGGATCTCTGCTAGGCTATCAGGATGCTGTGTTACCCTCTGTGCCCATCATATGGCTGGCACAAAGCCACTTAGTGGGCATCCTGCTGCCTCATATCCATCCAATGACCCCAGGTGAGCCCACCATTCTGAGTTCCTGGATCTCTGGTTCCTTTTCAGATTCTGGGTGCCTCCAAGCCTGAAATCTCAACCTGGAGTGAGGAAGGGTCATGTGTGGGCTCAGGATGCCTCTGCAAATCAGTCCTTAACTGCTGACACCTCATGGCCAATCAGACCCCAAGACACTTATTACAGTGGTGTCTGGGTCCAATTGGAGGTCCAGTTATTGGCCTCTGTAACTCATGTGGGTCACACCTTATCATCCAATCACAGCAGCTCCCTCCTCCTACATCCCCACGTCAGGCTCTCTAGGAGGTCCTGACCTGGTTAAAGGTCTAGGCTGAGTGCAGGCTGTCCACAGACTCACCCTCCCTTCCCCCAGGATCACAGAACTAGTTTCCTTCTTTCCAGTCCTTGCTACTATCCCATTACTGGCACCTCTATTTCTTCCTGTTCCTCCCATCTTCTCCCTCTAGCCCAAGCAGCGGTATCACAGGGGTGTATAGGTGAGAGGTCAGCTGTCGTCGGAAAGGCAGACTGGCCCCATGTGAAGAGAGACTGGGGTATGAGAATGCAACTGGGGGTAGCCCAGCCATCACCAGCAGTAGCAGCACTACAGCAACGCCTCCTCCTTTCCCTTCTGCTCAACTTCTGTCATTGGGTGGCAGGCACCCAGACCCCAGATGTTTCCTGCTGCACTGCTATATGTACCTGCGCACGCATGTGCACACTGGCATCTGCCACTGGCTTCCCTTGCCCTGACCCACCACACTTCCCCCAGGAAGGGATGGAGGGGAGGAAGGGTGAGGTCAGCAGGAATCTTCCCTTCTCTGCTGTGTCACTGAAAGTAGACAAGCTTAGAGGGACCCTAAATGGGTACTCCCCAAAACCCCCACCCCCACCCGTTTTAGTACCAGAACCTGACCTCTATGCATTTTGATATTATGTGAACAGTATGTAAAGCGGATACAAACATGCAAACCAGAACAGCTCTGACAGGCTCCGAAATGGACTATATGAGGGCCTAGGACCCAAAGGGAGGTGTGGAGGTAAGGGCAGGCATATGCACTGCTTGCCAAAAGGATACTACATTGGTCAAGCAGACCTTGAGCACCTACTATATACCTGGCACCAAGCTGGGTTCCTGAGGATTCAGATGAAGATGCAGGCACAGAGGGAAGTTGAGTAAGTAAGGGCAATAAGGGCAAAATCCATCCCCACAGGACTGGGTGAAGGCCTTTTGGAGACATCCTTGCCTTTAGCAGCATATGAAACCAGGTAGAATGGTTAAATTCCTTCTGGCCTCAGCCATACTGGGGTAAGATTCCCAGCTCCACCATTGTGGGATCTTGGGCTAGGCACTTCACCTTTGGAAGCTTTTGTTTATTTGCTCTGAGTTCCTACACCACAAAATGCCAGAAACAACTGCAACTGTGTTGACTGTGAGCATCTGCCTGAGGGCAGGGCCTGGGTTTGCTTTTCTCTGTCCCCACCACAGCCTTACCTGGAGAGTCACTCAACTGATTGAATAAATGGTACAGAATGATCTCAACTGCCCTAGAAAGCAGGGAGGGCAGGCTCATCTTGAGACCACTGATGGGCTGGGAGGGTTACCCCAGGATGGTGAGTTGGGGTACTGGGATGAGGAGGGATCCCAGGAGTTGTTTAGGGAATAAGGACTGTATGGGTCTCTTCTCAATGACCCCACCCTTTTAACTGCTCTCCAAACCAAGGTGTTGGGGGGCGGGGAGATGGAAGAGGAGGAGCTTGGTTCTTGTTGGAAGAGACAGCTGCAGGTGAGGGGGTTGAGTAGAGTAACAACATCCATAATAATTCCCAAAAATTATTGAGCACCTACCCCTTTACTAGGCTCTGTGATAAACACCTTCCATGTTATATCATATTCAAATCTTACAATGACAATCTTTTTTTTTTTTAAATGCTTGAGGAAATTGATAGAGATGCTTGCCCAAGGTCACTCAGCTGGTGACAATCAGTACCAGGATTTGAACCCCAGTATTCTTGCTCCACAGCTTTACTCTTTAACTCTAAGCAGCTCCTTCATGCCCCCAAAGGCTAACCTAGGTTCAAATCCTGCCTCCCTCACCAAACTTCTGTTGCTCTACCTCACCTTCACATCTTCCAAAATACGCATATATCACTAATCCAGCAACCTCTCCTCCACCCTTTCTCCCCTCCAGCCCCATCCTCTCACCCTACTCTGTGATCTATACAATAGTCAAAGGGATCTTGTAAAAATTTAAGTTGGACCTTGTCACTTCTATTGTAGATTAGAACCCACTTTGCATAAACCCTCACACCTCACGTGCTCTGCAAAGCCCTGCTCTATCTGTTTCCCCTTTGGGCCATGTCTGCAGTGGCATGGTCCACACCCTCTCCTTTGCTTGGCTGGCTCTGTCTGACCTTTCAGGCCTCAGTTCAAATGTCACCTCAAAGAGGCCCTTCTCGACTACCATAGGTAATATGGTCCCCTCCCTGAAGTTAGTCTTACATGACCCATTTTAATATTTTTATGGCTCTTCAGACTCTAAAATGCGTTCAACTTTTTGTTTACTTGATTATAGCCTGTCTCCCTGAATTAGACTCTTTAAGTCCTATGAGGTTGGGGATGAAATTTATTGTTTTCTAGTGTTTCCATAGTTTAAACAGTGCCCGGCACATAGTAGGTACTCAATAAACATCTGAAAGAACGTTGTTGGTGTGACCAAGAAGCCCTAACCCCCCTCTACCTCAGCTTCCCTTTTCTGTTGGGCTCTGCCTCCTTCTCTCAGCCTCCCAGGGAGCGCTCTGAATGAGATCAGAGATGGCAAAAGGCGCCCTCCGGGAGAGGGAGGGCACGATGCCCGCCTGGGGATGAGGTCAGCGCGGCAGACACCTCTCCGCAGTGCAGGAGGCAAGCAGAGCCACAAAGATCGTCTTGGCTAGACCCCTGCCCCGGCATGGGATCCTAGACGGTCAGGGGAGGGCGTGCAACCCCTTCCTCCGGTGGGAAGCTCCTCCCGGCGGGGCCTCCTCTTACCCCCTCCCGGGGGAGGCAGGTGGAGCTGCGTCCTCATCTTTGTTCCCATCTGGAGCGCGTTTGGCGCGGCGTGGCGGGGGCGGGGCTGCGCCCCCGCGGTGCCCGGAGAGACGGGCCCGCCCGCTTATCTGATCTGCGGCTAATTGAAACTCCCTGCTCGCGAAGGTCAGCTCGGTCCCCTGACAGCTGCCGAGCCGAGCCGGGCCGGATGGAAAACCCGGGCTGTGCAGGGCCTGGCGGGGCGTGGGGGGGAGGGGTTGTGGGGGGCTGCCTCTGCGGCAAAGTAGACAAAGGCGGCCCCTCCCTCTCCGTGCGCGCTGCTGGGGGTCGCCAGAGGTAGTGGCCTTCGCCCTCACCCAGCGGGGCGCTCCGGCCGGGGTCACATGGCCTACAGCTACAGGGGAGGGGGGGGCGACCTTAATCCCCACGCGCCCGCCTACGTCGCTCCCACGCCGGGGCCCCATCTGGGGTCTCTGGGAGAGTCACCCCCAACTTCCTGCCCCTACCCCGCCTCCACGCCCCGGCTCTGAGACTTCCTGCCTCCCTGGCTCCGGGCAGCTCAGGCTGTGGGAAGCTGGCGGGGCGGGGGCGGCGGGGTCCCCTCCCCCTGCGCGCCCGACGGGGCTCTGGGGTCCGGGAGGAAGTGTGCGCGGTGGGGAGGCACGGCCTGGCCCCAGGGCGGCCATCCGGTGGGGCAGGTGCTGTCTCAGCCCTGGAAGGGAGGGCAGGCAGGCCTGTTGCTAATGGTGCTAGAGCGGGGGAGGGGGACGCCACGGGGAGCCCCATTTCCAGGGTTCCGGGTGCGGATGTGACTTGCTACGGAGCCTCCAACCTAGCCCGCCGCGCCCTAGGCGAACCCAGGCCTTGCGCATTGGGCACGCGTCTCCTCCCCTCCCACCTGTGAGTCTAGGCTGAGATTCTGGGGAGCTCCCAAGGTGTAACTCCCAGCCTCCAGGCTGACCGCGCCCTTGAGCAACACCTTTTGGGCCTCAGCTTGCCCTGTCTAGAAAAAATAACCCCAGCCACGCTACCCTTTTTCGGAACCACGTGACTACCAGTGTTAAGCGTTTAACGTACTTTGTCTCAAGTGTCACAACAATTCCATTTTGCTGACGAGCAAGGTGAGACGCAGAGAGGTTGTGACTCGCCCGAAGTCACATAGTAAGTTACTAGGCAGATTTCGGCTGATTCTCGTGCCCTCGTTCTTAACCACGGGTGGTCTGGTTTTAGCCAGAGCTCTGGAGTTGTGCGCCTATATAGGTTGATCCCCCAAGGTATTCAGAAGTGCTGGAAGCCCCTTGGCGGCGTCTTGCCGCACACGTTGGCGTGTTGGAGCCGGGCACGTGTTTCTTCGCTGATTCCCGCGTGCCAGAGCCCGAGGACAGAGGCATAGCCTAGCGCACGGATGCCCAGGTGCGCGGTTCCCAGTTGGGACCCGATAGTCACATGGTCAGAGCCGCGGGCGGAGTGGAGTGGGGGCAGGGAACTCGGAGTAGAGTCCACGCGGGCCGCGGCGCCTGGGAGGCCGCAATCCGGGCGTCTGCAGCCGGCGAGGCGCGGGGTGACGCGCGGGGGCCCAGCTACCGTGACCTCCTCCGCGGTTTCCATGGAGACGGTGCACTATAAATAAAAAAAAAAAAAAGGAATTTCAAACCCGTTTTCTACGGCGCTTGGCGGGAGGGGGGAGGAAAGCTCTCTTTGAATCGAGTTTCCCATTTCACCTTCCCAGGCGGTGGGAGCGCTTCCCCCGCAGCCCAGCCGGGAAATTGCCGCCCCTCACGCCGCGTGGCGCCCCCCGAGGAAGCTAATTAGCGCAGCCCGGGAAGCTAGGGACTGGGGACCTGGCCCCGGGGGGCCGCCTCTTGGGTGGGGGGAGCGCCTACAAATTGCCACCCCCCCACCAAATCTCTCTAGGCGCGCACGCAGCCCGGCGCAGGCCAGGGCACAGGGCGCAGGCGGGAGGTCGCATCTGCAGCTTTGGCGCAATGAATCAGGCGCGGCCGCCGCCGCCGCCGCGGAGCGCGTCTGGCATCCGGAGTCTCCCGGGATCGAAAATAATTTGGGCAAAGCGGTGGGAGGTGTGTGTGCGCGCGCTCCGAGGAGAGGGCGGGGGAGCAGGCCGGGCGGGGTGCGCCGGGCGGGGGGAGGTGCCATCAGACAGCCCCGCTGTGGTGAGAACAGAGTTGACACTTCTTTCCTTTCCACTTACTGCGGCAAGTACTGCGAGGAAGCTTAACCCTCTCGCTGCTTGGAGGGTTAGAGGCGCCGCGAGCGCCCTCATGAGGGCGCGCCAGGGTTGGGGGCTAGGTGTGTAGCCTCTTTAGAGACCGGTCGTTGAGGCCCGACGGGTTCAGCTCTCTAGCTCCTCAGACAGGCGCTCCCATCTGAACATTCCTCAAGGCATCCTACCCGAGAGGCTTTTCTTGACCCCTCCTTTTACCTTCTCCAGATCTGGTAGTGTCAACACAATGATCTCAGTTTCCCCACCTATAGGGTGTATGTGGGGGGCTTTTTCTGTAGTAGCTTTCTTGTCTGGCGAGTCTTAGTTTTGTGACCCTCTGGCTTGGGCACTGCGCAGAGGCAGGAGTGGGAGATTAGAAAGGCGGGTGGGTGTATGCGGGTGCAGGAGTCAGAACCCCACCCTCCTTCATCTCCCGCCTGCACTCTGGGCGCCCTTCATCAAAATGGCCGGGTTCCTGTTTTTGCCTCTGACGGCAGAAATGTCACCGCTGCTGCATTAAGCACGCTCGGTGGGAACTCAGTTTGGATCGAGGAGCTGGCGCTCAGCCCTGCCAAGCTGTCTGCCGCAGGGGGGTGGGGGTGGGCTGGCTGGCCAGTCGGCCTAGCTGGGGTCAGCCTTTGTCTGCGTCAGTTCCCACCTTCTTGCCTCTCCAGCCCCCCCAGGCTCCCCCTTCCTCAGCTGTGCTGGTTGTTCCCACCCCACTCAAGGTTTTGTTAGGGGGCATCTGTTCAGACGCTTGTGCCTGTCTGGCTCAGGGATGGCAGTGGGAGATGACTGGGGGGCAGAACTCACTTCTAACTCCTTCCCACTCCCATGATGGGGAGCACCTCTGGAATTCACAGATCTTCTCCCTATTAGATGAGGAACTGCGCACTGGATAAGAGTGGTAGCCAGGCCTCAGAGCATCCCCAGACTTGAGATTGAGTGGGGGTACTTTCCACTTCCCCTACTTTCCTTCTGGCCAAGGGCTCCCACTACTTCAAGAATTCTCCAACCTTGGTGTACTGCAGACCCACTGGGCCTGTGAGCTTGCAGATATGGGGAGGAAGGGGGAGCAGTATGTGGAGAGTCTGATTCAGTGGGTCTAGGGTGGTCCTATCATCTGCAAGCTTCTTAAGACCCCAGGAGAGACCCTGGCTCTCACCCTGAGACATGGCCCCCTCACCCAGGAGTCAGAGCTGGGCGTCCCACAGAGATCCGAGGTCATGGTGATTAACACTGTCGCTGCATGGACTGGGGAGACAGAGAGAGAAGGGACTGTCTAGGGTCATTCTGCAAGGTCAGGAGCTCCATGGTTAAGAGAGTGGGCTCTCCTGGCTCTGCTGCCTGTGGAGGGCAGATGAGCTAAACTGTCTGTGCCTTGGTTTCCTTATTTGTAAAATGGGGATAACACTGATAGTCCCTAACCTCACTGAAATAATGTATGGCTTCAATGCACCACGGGAAGTGCTGAGTGCAGGTCCAGGTACTTAGTACCTGCCTAATAAATGTGAACTTTATTATCATTGTTATCACTGTTAGAACCAGAACTGAAATTCAGGTCTGTGGTTCAGACACTCGTTTTGAGGGCGGAGAGTCTGGCCCAACTATCTCTGGTTCCCCAAGTTTGGTCCTTTAGGGGATCCACCAGGTCCTGGGCAGGGAAGAGTGAGTGGAATAGGAGTCAGTCCCCTGGAGATGGTCTCATCTGTGGGTCTCCCCCCCCACAGACAAGCCCTAGTGCTTTGGGCCTTTTTCACTCTCTGAAAGTATTGTCCCCTCCCAGTTCCAACAGTTACAGATGCCCATTGGGTGCTGGCCTGGTTCGTGCTTGAGGGCTTGCCCCTTCTAGACCCATGTTCAGCCACACTTTGCCAAATATCAGATCCTGTGATGGTGGGAAAGAGGCCAGGTAACTTAGCCCCACCCCGTCCTGAAGGGGATGGTTGTAGGACAAGGAGTATTGATGTTAGGCATTCTGGGGGCAGGATTAGGATAGGCATAGGATACTCAAATTGGAGAGGCCTTTGGAAATGTGGGATCCCACCTCTCACCTTTGGAAGGGTGGGTGGGAGGGGAGCTGAATGAGGACATAGGACCAACATGTGCCTGGAACATGGGGCTGACATCTGTTTTATTCAGGGGCTTTTGGACTACTGGTCTCTGAAGTATCACCCAGGAATCCTGGTCAGAATGCTGGAAGGACTTTCTGAAACCTGGGCTATGCATTGGGGATGGTCCTTAGGCACTAGAGCATTCAAGTCTGATTTGCAGAAGGGGTGTGTGTCTACTTGAGGCTGCGTGGATGGCTAAGATGACCTCTCAGAGCTCCTTCTTGGGCTGTAGGCAGCAGAGGGCACCAGTGTTGGGCCCTCTTCTCACACTTGTCCACACATCCACCCTTGCTCAGCCATGCTCATCTAGGCTCACAGTGGCCCTATGTTTTCATGCACATTCATGTACCTAGGGACATTTGTGTATATACGTGCTAAAACACCACATGTGTAACACACTGTGCACAAACACACACAGGTATGCACTTGGGCACCCAAATGCACAGACACTAACATGCATGTACACCTGGGTATCCTAATGCACCCATGCACACATTAACACCTGTCCAAACACACATGCACACATAGGCAAACCCCTAGGCATTTTCACTCTCATCATCATCTAATTTGTGTGTATGTGGATTCTCTGTTTCCCACAAGGATAGGGCTATCTTTGTTCATTGCCAACTACCCTGGAGAACAGAGATTTGTTCAACCTCAGGGCCCACATGCCTGGTGCTCAGAAGGTATACAATTCAGTATTATCTGGAATAGATGAATAAATGTATAAGTGTATTTAGTAAATGTATGAGTGAATAATAACCATAATAATAAAAGCAACTACCATTTATTGAGTACATGCTGTGTGCCTAATCCTGTGCTAAGTGCTGCCTTTATAGGTACCATCTTATCTAAGCCTCATGGCAACCTATTAGCAAGTACTATTATAATACCTGTTTATGCCTGTGGGAACTTAGGCTTCAAGAAACAGTTACTACCTGCAACGAAAAACATAGAAAAAATACGTCATGACTTTTCCAACAACCCAGTAGTTTGCTAGGGCTGCCCTAACAAAGTACCACAGACCAGGTGGCTTAAACAACAGAAATTTATTCTCTCACTATTCTGGAGACTGGAAGTCCAAGGTCAAGGTATTGGCAGCCTCCTTTTGAGGGCTGAGGGAAGCACTGTTCTAGTCCTCTCTCCTTGACTTGTAGATGGCCGTCTTTTCCATGTCTCTTCACAAACTGTCTTCACTCTATGCGTGTCTGTGTCCAAATTTCCCCTTCTTGTAAGGACACCAGTGATATTGGATTAGGGCCCACACTAATGACGAATGACCTCGTTTTAACTTGATTATCTTTGTAAAGGCCATATCCAAATAAGTTCACATTCTGAGATACTGGGGGTTAAGGATGTCAACATATGAGTTTTTTGGGGGACACGATTAAATCCATAATGCTACCCAAGGTCACACATCTAGGAAGTAGGGTAAGCAGGATTTGATCCCAGGTCTGGAATGCCAGAGCCCACAGTATCATCCTATCATCCTGCTATGTGGTGGAGAGAGCAAGAAAGTCCTAGTGGTCACTCTCCATGGTTCCCCATCTCCCTCCAGCATGTGGGTGTCTAGTGCCTGCCTGCTCACATGAAGGAGTTGGCTCTTTGCAGCCCTGGCTCACTGGCATGCTGGTAGCTTTAATGTTCCTTCGGCCATGATATGGACGCCCAAAGCCACCCCCCAGGATCCTGGTGGCCACTGCTGCCCGACAAGTCAACATTGACAGGAGTGCCTGGAGATACACACAGGGGGCCAGGGGTCTGCCTGACTCCCCCCACCAGCTGCCATCTCAGATGCTGCGGCCTCATTTCAGAGGCTGCTGGCTTTGAAGTGCTCAGCCCAGTCAGGCGGGAAGCTGGAGCCAGTGTGGGGGCGCGGGGGGGCAGTCACGAGGCCTCCTGCATCAGCTGGGGCAGCTAGGACCAGGCAGGCCTGTGCTGACCTATGTTCACAGCATGAACCTCTCCTGTGCTGCAAGGAGGCAGGGTGGACCTCACTCTCTCCTGTTCCTGTGAACTTGGGTGGGGGAGTTGTTAAAAAAGAGAACTCTACTCCCAGCCAACAAGGGAGACGAAACCCCCAGTCTGAAGGGAGGCACAGCCTTAATTCTATGGGGAACCCAGACTTGGGAGGCAGGGCTTCTGTCTTCAGGGAGTTTTCAGTATGAAAAGTCCTAGCTTTTCTGAGCCTCACTTTGCCCAGCCAGGAAGTAGGATGATGGTCTAGTTTGCTGTGAAGGTTCTGGGAATTACTGGTAGAGAAGGACGAGGATTAACATGGGCATCTTACCCCATAAGCTGTAGCCATAGCTACAGCATTTAGGGGGATAACAATGATGATGGTGATGATGATAATAATAGATAATATTTACTAAGCACTTACAGGGCCTCAGGCTGAATGCTGAGTGCATTCCTTACCCAATTATCTCATTTAATCTTTCTGCGAAATCTGGGAGGCACCTACCAATATCATTGCCATATTATAAGTGAAGAAATGGAGGTTCAGTGAGTTGGACTTGCCCAAGGTCACACAGCCAGAGAGGGGTGGGTTGACTCTGTTCTGAAGGTTTCTTGTAACAGCAGGCTCTGCAACTCTATGAGGAGGGGGGTCTCAAGGTGGGGCATAAGGGTGAGACTTTACCATGGCTGGTAATGGCCTTGGTTCTGAGGTCCCCATCCTCTGAGCCTTATCCTGGCCTTGGT